TTTTAGAAAATTTAAGCAGTTATTATTATGTAAAGTTGCAGGATATAACCGTTCGGATACTTATGACCGCTACTGTACAACCGTTCGGATACTTATGTCCGCTACTGTATCTTCGACTCGTATTTATAACTAATTATCGTTTCACTAGCTGTCCAAGTTTACGGATAAATGGAGTAATTTGTGTTCTGTCCAAGTTTTTGGCAACATTTGTACCATTTCGTGTGCTGCGGATTGAGCGGAAATCACGGAGGAATACGTCGCACTTAGGCCTCGATCCTGACAACAAGAATAAAAAACGAATGCTATTTTAGAAGCAAAGGTGTAGAATTAGAGAAAGAAAATACTGAGTTAGATAAAACTAACCAAGAGTTGGAAGAAGCATTAGGATTAGAGGAGGAAACATCTGAGTGTCATTTAGAGGCTCTCAAAGTTAGAATCGAATGCTTATCGGAGAATTACGAGGAAAACTCACGAGGCCAATAGAGGCTGAAAATAATCCAAAGACGATAGTGAGAGCGATTCATCGAGCACTTTATCCAGCGTCTTCTCGATAATTGTCCGGCACGAGTCGGCATCGAACGTGTGTGCTGCAGACGCAATGAATGTATTTCTTAAAAATCCTCAGCCATTGGAAGAAGACGTGCTAGTTTGTCTTTTACAGCGTGACGATCTCCAAATTAGAGAAGTAGATCTATGGAAATACATTCTGCGATGGGCATTAGATAAACATCCGCGGGTAGACCGTTTTTCTTGTGAGCGATGATAGGGATGCTAGAAGTGAGGTTGAGGAAACCATTTTCATCGACGACGAGGCGGCCGAGAGTTACGTAGATGTTGAAACTCTCAGTGAACCGAACATCGTGGGCAAAGGCAGCGGAAGGACACTTTCAACTGATGAATGGGCTTCAGCGCGGAAACTCGTGGATGATTATCAAAGGCCGACGACCTAGAAGACGTTCGGACACGGACATCAGAACAGTGGCAAATTAAATTTATGGTGGAAAGAATGTAAGTCGGAATCGAAACTTGTAAAATTCATTTACTGTATACAAGTCAACCTCGATAAGTCGGCCCCTCGATAAGTCGGTTTCTCGATAATTCGGCCAAATTTCTTCAGCGTGTATCATAATGATGTCACTAGAAAACTAAAATTTACACGTCTTGTAAAAAAATTTTCGCAAATAAAAGAATGTTGATGCTATCTTCAACGATATGATAAATTGCAAAATGGAATCTACCGTAGTTAACTCTAATAAAGGTGGTAGTAAAAAGGGAAGAAAATTAAAAACTCTTACAGCCATCGAGAAAAAAATCTTTATGTGAATATAAAGCTGCTCATCCAAATGAAAACAACGAACGCATTGCAGAATTATTTCAAATTGGTAAATCAACAGTAGGCGATATTCTCAAAAGAAAAATGGCTTGCAATCGCAGAAAAACGATAGCTACCAATAAGAAACGTGATGAATAGCCAAACATAGAGAACGCGTTAGTTATGTGGATTGATCTTGCTAACAGAGAAAACCTTACAGTAACTGGTGCAATATTAGTTCAAATGGCATTGGAATTCGCTCAAAAATTGGGTATCTCAGACTTCAATGCATCAGCGGTTAGTGGTAATTTATGCAATTTATGCTATCAATTATCAGTTATTAATTATCATTTGTCAAATAGGGATGGGAAGAGAACTTTAAACGAAGAAATAATATTAAATAAAGACTACTGTAAATCAGGAGATACAATGCAGATGAAACCGGACTTTATTGGAAGCTAGAACCGAATAAATCTCTTGCCCGCAACTCTGTTACTGGAACAAAAAAATCATGCTTGCATGCAATGCAACAGGAACCCATAAATTACCAGCAGTTTTTATTTACAAATTTAAAAATCCTCGCTGCATTCGTAATATAGATAAAAGACACTTCCCGTCTCGTATTATAGGAATAATTCGGCGTGGATGCAAGCGTTCTGGTTTTTCGATGCTGGATAAGGATTTTCGATCAAGAAATGCGACAAAGAAAAGAAAAAATTTGTTGATGGTAGATGATGCATTGTCAAAGATTAAGCAATATTGAACTACATCATCTGCCACCAATACTATCCAACCGATATATCAGGGTATAATATATTCATTCAAAGTATTTATTCATTAATATTAATGAGCTGTTTAATTATTTGTGCAACGATTATGAGTTTTTCTCAAACTGACTATTTGTTTGAAAATTTTAGGCACATTACAGAAAACTGTTCTGTAAAGATAGAATTGACGCTTTCAATGAGTTTCACAACTATGGTTATGAATTTCCCGACCTAAATATCTTTCATGTAATAAACTGGACAGCTCAAGCATGGAATAATGTGAGTGACAAAACCATTTACCGTTGTTGGCAACGAACTGGTATTACAGTATACCCGAAGACGATAACATGTTAATTGATGCTGAAGAAGATATTGAAAATACTGTACAATCACTTATCAATCAAACGGACGCAGTCCAACTTAATGCAGAAAATTATATTAATATCGACTCAAGTTTCAAGGAACAGTTGAGGAAGAGTGTGACAGCAACGACGATTTATATCTATTACCGGTGTCAAATAAGACGGCTTTAGAAAGTGTCGAAAATATATTGAGTTATTTACAACAACAGAATGACTTTAGCATAGATGTTCCTTGATATTAAAAATAAGAGACTTACAAAATCAAATAAGGAAGAAACAAATCAATTCAATAAAACAAACTACTCTAGATGGTTTTTTTACAAATTAAATTTATTATATTCAGTTATATCACGTGTTCTCGATAAGTCGGCATACTTTGACATTGTCACACATATGACAAACTAGTTCACTCCTGGTACAAATATAACTGGGAGTGTTATCATCTTTTCAAGTGAAATGTTCACCTTGTTTGTCTCTTGCATTGAGGACAACATGGTAATTCTGTCTCATCTGCCTTGTCCACACTGATTTATTGTTCTTCATCATCAAGGTCAGTCAAATTTTTAACTTTAGTTAAGGTGTCTTTAAGATTTTCTAATTCTTCTTAAATTAAATTTTGAGAACAATCTCAACAGCAAAATTCAATATGTTCTCTATTTCTTCATCTCATCAGTTAACAGTTAAACCTTCTTTTGTATTTTACAATTAAACCATTCATTTTTTGTCATTATGATTACTTATTAATATAGTAAGTTTTAAGCAAAAAAAGAAAAGAAAAGAAGAAGAGCGAAATAATGTTTAAAAAGAAAGAGAACTTTATAAATTATAGTGAGAATGAAACATTAATACCATGTTTAGAAAACTCATTAATAAAGCTGAATTAGAATAAGTGGGGTAAGTTTGTGTGTATTAAATTTTTTGCCCAGATATTTTTGTCTTTCGTTTGGTAATGGTACTATAGTGCACGCAGTCTAAAGCCACCACTATTTATCATGTGACTTCAAATGAATAGAAAAAAAAATTGGATGAATAT